GAGGCGCTGCATACCATACCATACCATATACCATACCATACTATACCATATACCATACCATATATCATAGCAAACTATATGCCGAAGGTTGTGAGTAGGAGGGTGGAGTAGTGTTAGAACCGTAAAAGCACGAAAACTTAATAAAACCCACCAAACAAATCTAAGCTAGTCGAGTTTGATAGACATTTTGAATTGTACGTTTGCTTGCCCAAGTGATGTCCCCAAGAGCTTGAGAGGTGTTTTGGTAATTTTTATCGTACTCTTAACCATCAATTTCCCACGCTCACGTCGATCTTTGAAAATTAAAAGAGCAGGGATCCCTCACGGGGCCGACAAGCGCCTTAAAATAGATTGAGGATATAATAAGCTTCAAAGATCTTTTACAGAAGGCAAATTGATTAAGTTCCTCACCACTCCATCTCATCATCGTTTCCGAACGCTTCTTCAATTTCCTCCAGGCATTTCTTTTGGTGCTCCGGGAATCTGGCCAAATTGTACAAAGTCCACGAAATGACTAAAATGGAATAATAAAGATGACTAGATAAGTACCTTTTGCATTTTCCTCTAAGTTACTAGCTAGTGGTTTCTACTTCGGTCTTCGGTTGAAATGAGTTATCATTGTACATACCGCTTGCCGTTGTATCGTGCCCTGCAAACATGAATGTCACGACTTCCCCGACGATTTCTTCGTCTGTTAAGCCGCTTCCATTTTCGTCCTGAATTATAGTTGGAAAAAAAAACTTTTACACCAGGCTTGATAGAGGTCGTGATACGGGAAAATTGCCACAAGAGGTGGGAACTGGTAAATTATAATTATAGAGGGAAAAAAAACATTTACACCAGGCTTGATAGAGGTCGTGATGCGCGAAAATTGCCACAAGAAGTGGGAAATGGTAAATTATAATGGGTAAATGTCAGCATCTGAACAACTGTGCACCCACCGCTGCCCCCCCCCCCTTCCTAACCAGACAACAGTCAATGTTAGGCTTGGAGAAGTGTAGATGCACAATTGCTCAGATGCTTCAACATTCATCCATTGTTATCAATTTGAAATGAGTACTGCTTTGATAAAAAGCGTTCAATCGTCTTTTTATTACCTTCGCCTCCAGTAGAATATCTAGGAAATCCAAGTGCTTCTTTTTCCTGAGTTTCTCCATTTCCTCCTGACATAAGAACAAAGGAAATCGTCCATTGGTACGGCCTGAGTTTTCAAACAAAAGAAATAAACTTATTAATACTCACATCATCCTCTAGAGCTTTACGCCTTGCTTTTATTATTCCAACTGCTTTAGCATGAACAAAGGCACAGTTTTTATGGAACCTTCTTCCGTCAGGCGTCAGCTTGTAGATGGTGTCGTCATGAATGAGGGGATTCCTACAATGCCGCGTGTACAAACCAATAAGGCGTAGTAAAGTAGATTTGGTTAGGAGAGGAAGATAAAGGAGAGACGGATGGAACAATTCGTGAGAAAAGAGGACAAAGGCGCAAGGAGGAGTGAGGAGAAACAAGCTGATGATGGAGTAGGAGAGAGGAGGGAGTGTATAAGGGAAAGGAATGAGTACGAAAATAAAAAGAGAAATTAGCGTTGGGTTGAACAGTGAAGGAGGGAAGGAGTTGAAAAAGCGGATAGTCTACAAGGGGGAGAGGAGTGCGGAGAAGGGGACAAAGAAGAGATCATCGGAGGAAGTGAAAAGTATGGGGAGAAATAACTAACGAAGAAGTGTTCCATAAACTAGGTCTGACTAGCGATTTACGACGTCATTTAAGTATGTTTCTTACATTAGTCTGTTCAAAATCTGGTTCGAAGCTTCATAAACAGTCACAATGTAAGGATCCTGTTTTCTGAAGGCGAAAAAGAACAAAAACATGACTCACTTCTATATTATTTAGAGAAAGGGGTGTAAGCAAGAGGTAGTCCTAAGCTTTATTTTACTATTTTCTTGTTAAGAGAAATTGATAAAGTACAGTAATAGAGGAACCTAGAATAACTTCATATGTATAAAGATGCTAATGAAAAAATTTCCCTCTCCCTTTCCTTACTGGAAAATTCTGTTCACGTCCCTGGAATACTCTCCACTGAGCGTCTCTTGCGCAAAAGTTTTCATGGTGATGTATCTCACCGGTACAGCCGACTAAGGTATAATCTTCTGAAGTCCAATCACAAACATCGCAGTCTGATCAGTTGTCAAGTTTGGAACGATAATATTTATTACATTTATAGGGAGGCAATCAGACCAGTCGCTCTCGACTTCCACGCATAATAGCTGACGCAGGTTTCGCTCTCATCAAACATCACCCTATGGAAATCGCGAAGTCATAGTCTAATTGATTTAAATATTTTTCATATACAGGTTAGCTTTATGAATGTGATTTCTATATCTTATAGCCCCAATTTCTTACTTTTGAGTCTGGCAGTTGGTTCTGTAACTGAGCGCACATTTGAGAACGGAGTCTAATGTCATCAGACTAACATGATGAAACAACTCCACCTCGCCACTCTGTTGAGAAGACCATTTCTCCTGAAAGATGCCAGAGTGAACATCCAGAAAAATATATAATGATTTAGTGCAAAAGGCTTCTGAAAAAGCTAATTTTTTTTTACAAAAATGAGTAGAACAAGTATTACCACACTTCATTGTTCCCCTCCTCCTTAGACTAAAAGCAGATTCTCTTTTTTCCCGAAGTCCATTGAGAGAATTAAAAAAAAGCGGAAGGAAAAATGAAATTGCTGTTAGCGTGCCGAGCGGAACTCTGGGAGTGAGGCGCTGCTAGTAGTCTACATGTAACTTCCTAACCTCCCTGCCCCTTTGAATACAAAGTTTAACTTTCTTTATCGAGACTTCGAGTTGGAAAGAAACAATTTTTTTCGGGGGAAAGGGGGAATTTTCAGCTGGTTATAGTGTAAACAGGTCTCCTTAAAATCTTACCAGAAGTACATTGGTGGATTCCTGGAAAACTCGAACGTACGGCTTGAGAATCTCAAAGTGAAAAGCCGGAGTGAGGAGTCTTCTCATTCGAAACCACTTGTCTCCATATGAAGTTACCAAGCCATCCCCTGTATGCAGGCATACACGACATTTTAAAGTTTCATCTATATACCTGTCTACTGTTGCTACATTCAGCAGTTACCAAAGGCTGCCATTTCAGGATATAATTAGAGGTTTCCTTCCATCCATGTAGCATAATATGCGTTGACCCGATGATAATGATGACAACCCTTATAACTTGTAATTTTACCTTACATGTTGCAACTCACCTATGAAAGGCCTGACAAGGTTGTATACAAGTTTTTCTTTGGGTGCATTACTGGACTGAATGACTTTGACGGTTTCTGGGTGACACAAGACTACCAGTGGCTTAAGCGGGCCAAACCACAGACGGTAGCAAGTTTTGAATTCTAAAGCACATTTCTCGTGGAATTGAAGTCCACCTCCATCAAACCGTGCCTACGGATGAAATTTACTGCTGTTGTCATCAAATCAAGCAGCTTGGTGACCCGAAATGAAGCAAGTGTGCAGTCCAGTACAGTCTTAGACAATGATATGGTAGAACACAACACAAAATTTTCTAAGCTCATTCCTTGTCGTTATCTCCCTTAGCAGTCGTCGTTTAGCTTGTCACGCAAATAAAAGGGAGCCTGTTGCGTGATAAGGGAAGGTACGTTTTTTATTTGGCG